TATATATATATATATATATATATTTAATTTTTTATTGAATTTTATCATATCTATTATAGATCTATAGTCTCATATGGTAACAATTGTCTTTTTTATTCTCCATTTTAGGAGAAACACTGTTGATACTTGAGTTAAACTCACTGATAAATATATTAAGACTCCTGAGCTATTAAAGAGCATCCTAAATGATAAAAGAGAGGAAATGGATTCATCTTAAAAGTTTAACTTTTGTAAAAATAATGACTAACATGTTTTTATATTGCTAGTAAACACTGTATACATTTGGTTTTTACCATGAGGTTCACATTACCTTCTTCGCTGGAATGAGCCGTGTCTGTTGTCATCTGTGTTCGGTGACGCACATGAGCACAGTTTGTCTTTGTTTCCAGGCTTGTGACCTTGTAAGAAGTCAAAAAGTTAGTTTTAGGTCTTTGTAACTTTACTTTGAAAATCATCGCAGAGCCTTGGACCTTTATCTGCGGTGACACTGTGGCATTTGCATGATTAGGGCCTTTTTGCGGAGTAGATTAATATGACACAGATCATTGCCTACTGACCCAGTCATCACGGTCTTCTTATTAGTTACACCGGTAAATGCCACATTGTATCTGTCACCAAAATCATCGCAAATGGGTTCCTACGTGCTAGTCGAACAGCTGCAGTTGATAAATGGGAATGCTAACAGATAGCTCCAGGTATTATTCTTATTTGGCCTACGTGCAGAAATCTATCCTGTCCTGTGTTTCCCCAGCAGACAGCCGTGAGAGTGTGCACACTGTGCTAGAAAACAGCAGAAACAGAGATTTATAGTGCGTTTTCAGCTCTTTGGAAACGCAGCACGGCTCCAACTGTCCTGCCAGCTGACTGTGAAAAACCTGAGCCATTGTTCAGCGCGTCAGTCTTAGATGAAGGCGTTTAGAAGTGATTCCATGCTTATGTGCACTTTTCCATACATTAGCCTTATTTCATCTTTATTCCATTGTACATCTCAGCAGTATTCTGGAATATTTTAAGCAACGTTTTTTTGCTGCATAGGCCATGAAATCACTTGTCCTTGAAAAGGGCTTTTTGGAGGTAATGTACTGCTCAGTTCATAAAAGAGGGTTGTTAAAAGTGCATTTAATTTCCTCTCGTCTTTCATAAATACAGATGGGAGTGTTTTGTGCAGGGAAAACATGGACTGAATTTCAATTCAGTTCTCTTGTTGTCTATTAATTTGTTTTTTTTTTTGTGTGTGTAACGTTGATTGAGAGCTGAAACATACTTTTTTTGCACTGGGCAATAGCAAGAATCCATACTATTTTTATATAAAAACAAAATCAAATAATAGTTATGCTTAAGTGGATTTGGGCATTACAACATTATATTGCACGGTATGAATTAGAGTTACTAATTAGTTTTGTCCTTATAGTGGGACTATTATAGGACAGCTTTCTTAATTAGTTTAATATTTGCCATAGTCTATAGCTATTCATTTAAGCAGTTGATGACAGAAAAAGTAATCTAAAATCTAAAAATAGATGGAAACAAGCGTCTGTCAATAAATATCTGCCGATAAACGTTTAGGCAATTTCATAAGAGCAAGAACGGTAGTAAATATCTTAATAGTCAGGAACCATCACCTTTGCCAGAATGTTTGCTTTTATACAGTACAAAAGGTCTATAAACAAGAAGTTAGTATTGAGGAACTTACATTATACACTCAAAATTGCCATACTTACAGAAATATTTCGAAGCAACAGCAGGATAAACCGTCCCGTGTCTCCAAGCAACATGGCGTTTCAGAATGAATCATCGTCTTTGAATGAATCATTTGAGCAAATGATTCAATGATTCAAATAAGGTCACAAAAAACGTTTAGTTTTTGAATGAATCAGTGTATTGAACGAATTGACTAAATGATTTTGACTCGCTGATAAAAATATTCACTTGTTTTGTTCAAGCGGCAACCTCCCGCTCTCTCTCGTGATGCCAACAAGGAAGTGACTTAAACTGTAATTCATCAACTGGCCGCTAGAGGCTGGCTGCAAAAGGGAGTCAATCCCATAGACTCCCCATGTTAAAATGCCCAAATTTACAGCAGAAAAAAACGTTTACAGCCTGGTTCAAAAAATGATTTTGGTTTATATAGCTAATTTTGCCCTTCATGACAACTGTGAGCGGGGTGAATTTTTTTATAAGTCATCCGTTTAAATTATATTAAGACTTAAAGTTCTGCATAATTAAGGGCGTGGCCACTTGAGTGACAGGTGGATTGCCGCTGCTGTCACCACCGTCGAGCTAGGTGGGCATGGCTTCAGCAACCAGCTCCTGCCTTTTTGCCCATTTTCGATTATCCGAGAGTGACGCGCTGCCAAGATGGCGACGGCCAGCTCCGCCCACTTTAGGCTTCAAAAACCTCTTCAGGAACCTACGGGTGACGTCACGGACACTACGTCCATGTTTTTATACAGTCTATGGTTTTGTTCCTACGTGAATTAGTGTTTTTGAACAAATCGATTGAGAGAATGATTCAGTGACTCATAAATTAGCGTTTTTAAACAATGGGTTGAATAAACGGTTGACTGAAGAATAATAATAATAATAATAATTAGTTATAATAATAATAATAATTAGTTACATTTATATAGCGCTTTTCTGGGTACTCAAAGCGCTTTACATGAAAGGGGGGGAATCTCCTCAACCACCACCAGTGTGCAGCATCCACCTGGATGATGCGACGGCAGCCATAGTGCACCAGAACGCGACCATGCGCCATTGTAGTACCATGGCTTTTGCAGAGTTTGCACATGTACTTGAGATTCACTGAATCACATAGGCCTACCCATTCAGCTCACGTTCTTGGATTAATTTTTGACAGATACAGCAATGCTTATCAACATAAATGACGTTATCTGTCTGTCATGCCAAAATGTTCATTTCGAAGTTTCTGGAGTCTAGTAGGCCTATTTGGATTCCTTTCCAATTTCACAGGTCTGTTGCTTTGGATTTCAGACTACGAGAGAAAATAGAGTACCTCATGAAGGCAAAATTGGATTTTAATTAAAACCTTTTTTTCTTGAAGGTTTTAATATGTGGGGTTCAAATTTGCTCCATCTGTTGCTGCAGTCCAACAGCTCGCAATATATTTCTCTATCACGCAGACAAATCTACTGTCATAATAATGTGAATAATTACTTTGCTGGCCCAGCGAACACCAGAATGAAATATCAGACCTAGTTTCACAGTGCACGGTGATCGTACCACAGCACGACAAATTTCAAGCAGATTTTTCTGGAAAAGCAAATTAAAACAACCACTTAACTGACATCGTTGTTTCATAACTCCAAACCAGGCAGAAAATGGCTCCTGCCTCATAATCTTTCATCATCTCCGCATCTGGACCACTGTTTACTCACTGATCCTTTATTTATCAACTTCTAATTTATTT